GACTCAATCAAGTGGTTGAACAGTTACTGCGCACAGCTTGCAAAGACGACGTCAGCCACTGGGACACACAGTTACCAACCCTAGAGTTCGCTTACAACAACGCGTCACATGCGGCCACAGGGAAAACTCCTTTCTTCCTGTGTTACGGACGGAAACCACTTATACCTCAGCAGCCAACCACACCGGCACACGTCCAAGCCGCACATGACTTTGTCACCACCATGCAGCAGCTATGGGAGAAGACTCAGAAGACTCACCACGATGCAGACCTCCCAGAAGCAGTATGCTGATCGACAGCGACGAGATCACTCAGTAGCAGTCGGAGATCAGGTGCTTCTTGACACGCGCAACCTGAACATGTCTCACCTCCCATCCAAACTCCGGCCTCGCTTCTGTGGTCCATTTCTCGTGGAGGCACAGGAGACACCAGTAACATTCCGCTTGCGCTTACCAGATACATGGAAGCTTCACAACGCTTTCCATGTTCAGCTACTGAAACCCTACAAGGACCCGAACGAACAGTTCCAGGGACGGCAGCTACCGCCACCACCACCTGTTCTCATACAAGATGAACCCAAGTACGAGATCGAGCGCGTTCTCACTCATCGGCGCCGCGACGGCAAGGCCCTCGAGTTCTTGATACGCTGGAAGGGATACGACCCCACTGAGGACAGTTGGGTTGCAGAAGCAAATATGGGCAACGCACGCCGTGCTCTCAAGGACTATCTTGTCAAGCAGAGTGTTTCTCACGCCACCCAGCTTTGAGGGGGGGACGTGTGAGAGTACGACGACTTATGCTGGCTTTGCTAGCTTGCCTAGACTTTATTATGCTATATCTAGCTTGGGTTTTATTCATCATGCATAGATATGTTTGATTTCCTAGGTTAGGTGCATTCCTATATTTTATTATAGTTATAGCACCGAACCAGGTTACGTGTACCGAACTCAAGCCTATTCGGTTTCCACCGAATTGCTTTCTACTGAGTTCGGGAAGGTTCTGTTCGGGACGCTTCGCGACCCTCAGAACATTCGCGTAACACCTGGGTAACTGGCCTTGTGTCGAGACTATATATAGCCTTGTGTTGTACCCAGGCGAGATATTCAATTCAACCTCTCTTTTCTGAGCTCGATTCTAGATCCTCACAGCGGAGGTGGCGAAGACGGCCGAGGCGGGAAACCCGGTGGGGTCTCCAAGCGAGGAGTGCGGCGAGTGGTCGCCGTGTCGTCGGCGGCAGTGTCACCCCCCTCAGCTGGGTTAGAGGAGTCAGAAGAGATCTCCACTGGCTCATCTAAGGGGGGTGGATCTACCTGAGACACACCTGAGGGAGCAGGACCTTGTGGGGGAAGGGGGTCTACCGGGGGGGGGGGGGACTAGTACCAGGAAGAGAGGCGCGAGGGGGACTGGGTGGGACGCGTGTGGGTGAAGTCGGTAGTAACAGACCGACTCGTCGAAGGTGACGTCCTGAGAGGATAGAACACGACGCGAGGCAGGGTGGTAGAACTGCCAGGGCGGGGCGTCGGTGGGGAAGCCCAGCAAGACACAGCGGAGAGCGCGAGGAGAGAGCTTGCTCGCTTTGGTATCGCGATCAAGGGAGAGCGTGCCCCAGATCCGAAATGACGACGCATCACCAGGCTGTCCCGTCCAACGGAGTGTGGGCGAGGAGCAGAGACACAGGGCCAGAGGTTGAGCTGATGCGCGTCGTATCGGACCGCAAACGGCCACAGGAAATGGGGAGCAGCCGCATGGATCATGGAGGTACGAGCAACCTCCATGATCAGTCCAATGCGACGCTCAGCGATCCCATTTTGCTGCGGAGAGGCCGGAAGAGTGAACGACTGGGCGATGCCCTCGTCCTGACAGAACGTCTCAAGGACGCCAGAGGAAAACTCACCACCCCTGTCAGAGTGCAGACGCAGGACTGGGAAGTCCTGCTGAAAACGCTCGTGCAGCTGGAGACGAGTAGCACGGATCCAGGGGATCAAAATACCGCTGACGTCCGCCTTGCGCCGCAAGGGGAAGACGGTGGTGTAGCGTGTGTAGTCGTCAACAAGCAGCAGGAAGTAGCGCTCCTGGTCCATTCCACCGACTGGGGCCGGGCCCCACACGTCCAGGTGGAGAGTCTGCAGAGGAGCAGTGGTCGGAGGAAACTCGGAGGAGTGAGGAGCGGCGCGCTGCCGCCCCTCGACGCAAGGAAGGCACGGCGGGGCAAGCGAGCGCGGCAGGGGGGGCAGGGTCCTGGGGAGGCCAGAGACAAGGAGACGGGAGTGCATACTGCGTAGACGCGGCAGGGAGGGGTGACCAAGACGGTGGTGCCAGCGCTGAATCTCGTGCGTGAGTATTCTGCACGAGCAAGACGCAGCTAACTGTCCCAACGCAGACGCCTGACTCGACGCAACCACCTCACCTGACTCAGCCACCTGTGCAGACGCAGTGGTCAGTGTGTACAGACTAGACCCAGGCTGTCGAGTGAACGTAGCCAGGTGACGGCCAGTCCGGGAGCACGTACACATCGCCACACGCTGCCCTCCAGGAATAAAGGTATCAACCCAGACATCCTGAATGGCAGCGTTGCTCACTAAGTTCGTCGTGAACGTGGGGAGGTGGAGACCTGACAGAGAACCGGAGGGGACTGCAATGGCAGCGTTGCTCACTAAGTTCGTCGTGAACGTGGGGAGGTGGAGACCTGACAGAGAACCGGAGGGGACTGCTGGACAAGGGAGGACCGTGGAGGCTCTCGCAACTACTGGGCCCCCAGAGGGGTCAGCCAGTGAGACTGGGACAGGTGCTGTGAGTGGTGTAACTGTGGTGCAATCACGAAAGAAGCAACGTGACGCGCCTGAGTCAAGTGTGAAAGTGTGCAAGACCTCAGCGGAGGCCGGACCTGTGGTAGTAGACGCACTAGCACCTAGAGCGTCGGCAGACTCACGGGCACCTAGAGCTGCAGCAGACTCACTAGCACCTGGAGCGGCAGCAGACTCACTAGCACCTGGAGTGGCAGCAGACTCACTAGCGCCAAGAGCAGCAGCCTTAACACAACGATAACCTCCACCACCAGGCCTGCCTCGCTAAACAACCCACTCACGAAGCTGCTGAGGGGTGGGGTCATCCAGGAGAGGCAGTGCCCGCTGCTGTCCACCCCTGGCCGCAGCAACTGCCGCGATAGTGGCCATGACAGATAGCGACGGTCAGGAGTAGGTCCAGCACCTCCAGCTCCTCCAGCAACAGCAGCACCTCCAGCACTCCCAGCAGCACCTCCACCAGCAGTAGTAGTAGCACGAGTAGTAGCAGTAGTAGCAATAGCAGGGCGGCTCAGTGGGGCTGGGCGGCCGCACCTCCAGCACTCCCAGCAGCACCTCCACCAGCAGCAGCAGTAGCACGAGTAGTTTTTTTTGTTTTTTTTTTTTTGTTTTTTTTTAGGGTTTAGGGTTGCGCGCGGCCCACGGGCTGCAGGGGCGACGCGCGGCTCGGCAGGGCGGCACGCGGGCTGCAGGGGCAGCGCCCACGGGCTGCAGGGGCGACGCGCAGCTCAGCAGGGCGGCACACGGGCTGTAGGGGCGGCGCGCGGCTCGGCAGGGCGGCGCCTAGGCTGCAGGGGCGATGCTTGGCTCGGCAGGGCGGCGCGCGGGCTGCAGGGGCAGCGCCCACGGGCTGCAGGGGCGACGCGCGGCTCTGCAGGGCGGCGTACGGGCTGCAGGGGCAACGCGCGGCTCTGCAGGGCGGCGTACAGGCTGCAGGGGCAGCGCCCACGGGCTGCAGGGGCAACGCGCGGCTCGGCAGGGCGGCGCGCGGCCTGCAGGGGCAGCGCCCACGGGCTGCAGGGGCGACGCGCGGCTCTGCAGGGCGGCGTACGGGCTGCAGGGGCGACGCGTGGCTCTGCAGGGCGGTGTACGGGCTGCAGGGGCAGCGCCCACGGGCTGCAGGGGCAACGCGCGGCTCGGTAGGGCGGCGCGCGGGCTGCAGGGGCAGCGCCCACGGGCTGCAGGGGCGAACTTGCGGGCTGCAGGGGCAGCACGCGGGCCACAGGGGCAGGCACGGCTGCAGGGGCAGGCACGGCTGCAGGAGCAGCACGGTCGCAGGGGCGAGTACGGCTGCAGGGGCAGCACGGTCGCAGGGGCGAGCACGGCTGCAGGGGCAGCACGGTCGCAGGGGCGAGCACGGCTGCAGGGGTAGCGCGGTCGCAGGGGCAGCACGCGGGCTGCTAGGCCAGCGCGGCTGCAGGGGCAGCGTAGGAAGAAAAATTTTACGGTTAGGGCAGGGCGGAACGTTCGGTAGGCCCTAGGAACGACTCTGCTCTAATACCATGTTAGAATAAGCAGGCAGGAATGGTGGACTAGGTAGCATGCATGAGTACAAGTACCTAACCCTAAAGTGTTGTACCCCTTGTAGGCTAACCCACTATAGCCTAGAGATAACACAAACATAGAGTTTGACAAGATGAGCTGAGCCAATTTGGTAACACAACAACACATCCGGTGTTGCACGACGCAGAGCGCTGGGTCCTGTGTAACGCCTTCCATATTCTTGCTAGCTGCAGCTCCAATATCAACTACGGTAGCCTTTCAGGTTTCCTCTTAGTCCTCACTTACCGTGCCAACAGTAAGAGCCGGATGCCAATGCAAATGAACGTTGTGAGACCCAATGCCAGCCACCTTGCGCTACTGTACCGTGCGTAGGCAGACTGTTCTGCACATTGTGAGTAAATAGTCCAACAACACTTAAACATTCGCTCTCCGCCACCTGCTCTTCACTGCTCCACTCACTCCCTCCCAGCTGCCATGCCTGCTGTGATCTGCTTGCAGAGGCAGCAGCAGAGGAGGGCCCAGGGCACAACAATCCACACAGCCTTTGCTGCAATGTAGAGGGGGGGAATACAGTCACCCTAGAAATAGACAAGCACGCCGGCCCGAAATCGCCCTTTGCATTGGGTCACCATAGATTAAAGTAGTCCAAAAATACTGGGTTCATTCCCTCTTTGCCCTCCTGCTCTTCACTGCCCCATTCATCCCCCCACTACCACCACTGACACCACCCCCCCCAGCTGCAATGGCAGCTGTGATCTACCCCCAGCAGCGGCAGAGGATGGCAAACGGCACGATGATCCACACGGCGTTCATCGCTATAACATCACAAAAATGTGTGTGTTTGAAAACCATCTGACGTTCCCGCAGGTCGATCGTATGTTTGACAATCGTTTGAAAAACGTACAGAAAACCTACAAAAATCGTTTGTCCCTCTTGAGACGTTTTGGAGACACTATTCGTATGTTTCCGCTCAATGTTTCTTGCCTGTTGCTGCAGCATTAGGGTTTCGCGACTAAGAGGGGTTGGAGCTGGTCTCCTCGCTTGGAAGATTTGTGCTGTAAACCTGTTCTCGATATAAATGTCTCCTTTTTACTTCTGTGCATTGTTTGTTACAGCAAAACCTTTGAAGATTATTTCTTGAATTTGTAAATCCCATTAAGAACATGGGTTTCCAAGTGTCATATTTAACCAATGGTTATTGATTTTGCACCTATTAGATTAAAGAAATGCCTAAAAATATCAATATTCTAGGTTCAAAATCAACGTTTACCACAGTCACATTGGGTCAAAGGCCTCACCATACAAATCTGTTGAGGAGGCTCACTTCATCGTCCTCGCACGAGGGTACAATGTGCACGAGACTAAGAATGCAGTCTACATCGATCACCGCATAATTATCAACGCCCTCTGTGGGTAAAAGACGCTTGCATCCCGTCGACGGGCATTGTCGCTTGTCTTCGGTGTAGTACTCCACATATGCGCCTCGCCTCAGCTCACCACCCTTGTTGTAATGAAACAGCACAAGGCAACGGCCATACCACGGGGATCCCTTCCCTGCAGGGTTGATCGCAATCGACGAGAAGTTTTGCTGGGCTGGGCTAGCCTTGACGAACTGCCCCCTTGACGTCCATTCCATCTTATCGTGTGGCGGGATCGCAAGTGCCGTGTGCACCTGACACCACGAGCATTCAACAAAGAAAAAGGGAAAGCAGCGAAAGAGGGGGTGGAGAGCATAAGGGAAATGGGGTATTGGCCAGGGTTTGCATGGACAGCAGTCTGGAGAGGGGGAACCAGGGGCGGATGGGGTGGAAAGCAAGCAGGAGAGGGGGAACCAGGGGTGGATGGGGTGGAAAGCAAGCAGGAGAGGGGGAACCAGGGGTGGATGGGGTGGAAAGCAAGCAGGAGAGGGGGAACCAGGGGCGGATGGGATGGAAAGCAAGCAGGAGAGGGGGAACCAGGGGCGGATGGGGTGGAAAGCAAGCAGGAGAGGGGGAACCAGGGGCGGATGGGGTGGAAAGCAAGCAAGAGAGGGGGAACCAGGGGTGGATGGGGTGGAAAGCAAGCAGGAGAGGGGGAACCAGGGGCGGATGGGGTGGAAAGCAAGCAGGAGAGGGGGAACCAGGGGTGGATGGGGTGGAAAGCAAGCAGGAGAGGGGAATGCACCTGCAAGACTTGCGTGTTGATGCCCGCCTGTTTGAGGCGCAGAACCATCGCACTCATGGCGGGTTCACCCAGCGTCAAGACGTAGCTCCGGAACACCGAGTCGGTGATGTCTCCAATGACCATCTTCTTGTGGGTCTTAGTAAGCACCCTCCGGCCAGCCAGGCATGCCTGTCACCGTGAAGATGAGAGGGTTGGTATAGGGAGGGGGTGGGGTGAATGGTGTGGGCATTTGGAGGGTGGAAGAGAGGGTGGGGGAGGGGATTGATGCGGGGGAGGCGAAGGAGAGGGCTAGGGACCAGGGGGAAATGAGGGTGGGGGAACGGGGGCGAGTTTGTGGGGACGAAGACGGGGATGGAGGGTAGGAGTCGGTTACTTTGGTTAGGTTGGTCCAGCATCTGATTGCCAACTCATGCAGAGAGCATGGAAACAGATATTGGGGAACAGAGCAGTGGAACATAGCAGGGAAACAGTAGGGAACACAGGAGGATGTTGCGGAGCAGGGATGAAAGCAGGGAAAACAGAGCAGGGACCAGATCAGGGCAAACAGAACGGGGCACAGAGCAGGGCAGACACATCAATGAACATAGCATGGAAACAGTGCTGAGAACAGAGCAGGGAAACAGAACAGGGTACAGAGAAGGGGAACGGACTAGGGGAACAGAGCAGGAGAAGAGAGCAAGAGAACTGAGAAGGGAAACAGAGCAGGGAAACAGAGCAGGGGAACAGAAAAGTGGAACAGAGCAAGAGAACAGAGCAGGGCAGCCATGCAGTGAGTTAGAGCAGGAGAGCAGAGCATGGGAATAAAACAGGGAAACAAAGCAGACGAGAGTGTGCAGGGGTACAGAGCAGGGGGGACATTGCAGGTTTAAAAGAATCACCTCTTTCATCGAAGTCTCGTACGTGCTGTCCCCGCCGACCTCCCGCGCTAGTTGTCTAACTACCGCGTGCTCCAGGTGTTTCCGAACGATGCGATCTTCAACATTCTTCCAATTCGTGCCACGTGAAGGACGCTTCACAGTGGTCTTGTGGGAGTGCTCGTAACAGTTCGACGAGTACTCCGCGGGGATTCCCCGAAGACGGATGGTTGACGGGAGGTGGACGAGGAGATGAATTTTCACTATTTTCCACTTTGACTTCTGCTTAGGAAATGCAACACGCAGAGCCTTCACCATGCTGGGGAGAGACAGTCGAGAGCATGCATGCAGTTAAGGGGTGGAATGCAGTCCAGGAAGGGAGAAACGACACGAGGGAGGGGGGGTGAGGAATCATGCAGTCAAGGGAAAAAAAGGGCAGGATTGAGGTCAAGCAGGTGGGGTATGGAAGAACAGGGATGCAAAGGGTCAAAACAAGATGAAAGGGAAGGGGGGGGGGGGGGGGGGGGAAGAGCATGTAGGTACGGTTGATGCGAGGAAAATGGGTGTATGTGGCAATGAACGGCTTGGGAGCCCACACAATAACAAGAGTAACTACCTGATGGTGGCATCTTTCATCCGTTTCAGGGAATCGTCGGTGTGGTACTCAGCGCGAATAAACTCCTTGTACCACTCGACCATGAGCACGATTGCCGTCCGGACATCTTTCCGTCCTAGGAGATCGATGATGAGAGGCAAGACCTGCATCATCGCACGATGCTCTGAAGCTGAAAAGCAGGCAGTGGATGTAAAGTAGGCCCACGCCGAAGGCAGACGGAGCACGGAAGCTGGTGTGACCTCCTTCAAAATCTTGTATCGCCTAGAGAGAAGGAACGGTTCAGCATGGTGGAAAATGCAAGCAAGGAGGGGAGGAACGGTTCAGCATGGTGGAAAATGCAAGCAAGGAGGGGAGGAACGGTTCAGCATGGCACGGAAAGCAAGCAAGGAGGGGAGGAACGGTTCAGCATGGCGCGGAAAGCAAGCAAGGAGGGGAGGAACGGTTCAGCATGGCGCGGAAAGCAAGCAAGGAGGGGAGGAACGGTTCAGCATGGCGCGGAAAGCAAGCAAGGAGGGGAGGAACGGTTCAGCATGGCGCGGAAAGCAAGCAAGGAGGGGAGGAACGGTTCAGCATGGCACGGAAAGCAAGCAAGGAGGGGAGGAACGGTTCAGCATGGCACGGAAAGCAAGCAAGGAGGGGAGGAACGGTTCAGCATGGCGCGGAAAGCAAGCAAGGAGGGGAGGAACGGTTCAGCATGGCACGGAACAACTCACTCCAGAAGAATCTTCCGTTCTTTCGGAGTCAGCTTCTTCACAAGGCACTTCATGGCATGCAGCCATATGCCCTGCTCCCAGATGTGCATGATGTCCGGGGGGACAGCGAGGTACGTGTTGCCCCAGAGAGTCTTTGCGAATTCCCAGTCCCACAAAAGGCTCTGCGTTGTGGGTCAAGGACACAGAGTCACTATGGCGGGTCAGGGTAATAAACACAAACAGCTGGCTGCGGATTGGAGTAGGTTCTCATGCACACTAGCCAGTGCAGTATATGGTGTGGATGGAGGGAAACCAGATGAGATGCGCGGCAATGCATGCGGAACAAGCTAGGCAAGGGTTACCTTCACAAAGTGAGTAGAGGTCTTCTTCTTCACCGCCTTCAGCTTCTTCTTGGTCTTTGCTGATTCCATCTCCTTGTACGCATCCTTCTGACTCTTGACAGTTCTGAGGACAATAGTGTCTTCCTGCTCATCCAGGCACTCCTTATGGGGGGGCGTTTGAGTCAACTCAAACGTCATCGCATCGAGGTGCTCCTTATCAGCCAAGCACAACGAGCACGGATGGAGCGAGTTGCATGCCATCGTACAAGTGACCTTAGAAGACTCCGGGTGATCTGTCACCCATGAATATAGAAGCGTGAATGCTCTATATTGCACACCGGCACTGTCTTCCACCATCACCCCGCCCCTGCACAGCCGCCAAGGATGAAGGGGGAAACAGGGAGGTAGAGGGGGGATGATGGGATAACACGTCGGAGATGGGAGTAACGGAGTGAGCATGGGCGGCCCTAAGCAAGCAGATGAAGAACGGTTAGGAAGATGGGGACAGCAAGCAGGGAAGGCATTAACGGCATGAGATGGTGGCAAAGCAAAGTTATGACTGAATACAGCGTTGTGGCACGCATGCGAAGGAGGACCAGATGTGAACGAGGGTCAACAAAGGGAGCGGAGAGGGTATGCCTCAGGGAAAGAATATTAGAAGGGTAGTGGGGTGGAAACGTGACGGAGTGGTTGGTTTGACCAAACCAGAAGGCTAATGATGGAAACAGCGGGGTGGGAGGATTATGAATAGGGATGAGGCAGAATACGTAGTACGATGACGGAGATTACTAGGGATGCGCGCCTTTGGGTGACAGTAGTGTTGACTCACCCTTTCAGATGTGAAGCCGCCTTTAAATCTTTAATCATGATCTCTGCAGCGCGCTGGAACACTCGAACCTTTTCTTCCGGCGAGAGGTCAGCTGGGATATTAGGCAGAAGCCCGAGAAGCTCAGTGCCTCCTTCGAGCCACCTAGCCCATTCCGGAATGTTCCCAAAGGACAAAAGAAATGGGTGGGCGGATTGGCGCCCGTTATGTGATAGATTGGTCTGGTCCGAGAACAGAATGAGCGCTATAACTATGCCATACTTCCGCACCCTCTCCTGCCACAGTGAATGAGAAAGTGATGGAAATCTGAATTGGATCCTATGTTTCGACGGTCTTGTCAAACGCGACATGAGCTGGAACCAAACTTACCCAAGCCTCCAGCATCCAGTCCGTGTTTGCAGGGGTACTGTAGCGGCGAACCCCATCAACCTTCCACTCTTGAGGCATGATGGTGAATCCCTTGACAGCTGACATTTTCTTGAACATGGCCTGAAGGAGCTGATGGTGATAATGACGGAAACAAAGATGTAAAACAGACGTGAAGAAACGATGGTTCCCTTTGGTCCGATGGTTTGATCGTCATCACTAAACCCCCACCTCCACTCTAAAGAACGTGACACCGCACCTGGGAGACACTCACTTTTATAGCGTTTCGGCGTTTGAAAGTGAGAAACCCAATCTCGTGATCCATTGGGATCTCCTCGACGATCCATTCGTTCGCCTCTCCAACGTCAAAGGTGTTCTCGTACTTCTCTAGGTCCCGGTAGCTGTTCCAATCGTCCAGCTGCTTTGGATCTAATTTCGGATGTCTAACTAACTGTATCGTGTCGTTTATCACCCCGTTGGTAAGGCCGTGAGACCGTGCCAAAATGCATATTTCCGCCTTAACATCGAGAATTTCCTCTGTAGGAGCTTCTTCCCCCACGAGTATGGTGCTACACGTATGGACCGCATCAGGAACTCGCTCTGCCGGCTGCTGGTGCTGCTCTACTGCGTTCGGAAGTGCTGCTAAGGGAATCGAATGCTTTGGTGCGGGAAGGGTGGCTCTTCCTAACGGGACAAAGGTATACTGCTTCTCAACGTCACGACCCAGCTTCTTTCGTTTAGCAGCCTCTTGAGCCTTGCGTCTTTGGGCTCGCTTACAGCCGTCATGGTTAGCTTGATGGCTACGTACTGTTTGATAGCAGTACACGCGCTTATTGCAAAACTCGCAACCCTGACCCTCCATCGAGCAGATCTGTCCGTAGGACTGAAATGGTGTTTGGCACACCAGCTTGAGATGTGAGTGGTAACACTGCACCGTGGTGAGATAGTAAACTATCGTATGGACGATAGTTTACCGAAAGGCGAGGGAAGGATTTGGCGCGAACACGAATTGGCGATCTGAGCCTGAACATATGTTTCCGGTGACCCTGATTGGCCATTGGTCATCGAGTGTCAGTAGTTGGTTTGCAATTGGTTAGGGTTTGTGATGTACTGCTCGAAGTGCTAGGTCACACTGTTTATTGGTGCGCGACAACCGTGCAGATGGGCGAGAACGCCATGCGACTCATACTCAGCATCTCCCGGTGTAACTGTTTTCGCGTACAAAAACTGCTTTCTTGTCGCAGCAACCTGACGAGGTTTTGTACCCAACTGGAAACAAGTTGGCAAAGGTCGTTTCCGCTTGCGACATGGACCTGACATCCTTTTTGGTACACGCCAATTGTGTGTCAGAAAAATACAAGCCGCACCAATGCCATTGGAGCAGGGAATCCTGTCAGACCGCCCAACACTGGACACCAAGTAGACAAGATATCAAGAGCAGGCTATTCGTTGACGACGAATGGGAGCAGGAATTTTAGCACAAAGTTGACCAACGAAGGGCAAGGGCGTGTGGGTCCTTCTCCAGGAGGAACTACAGTATCTACTTCGACTTTCCGTTGAGCTGGCTGGGCAAGGAATTTCGACCCTTACCTAAGGCAAGATCCTGCTCAAGCTGAGTTTGCGTACTCAAGATATGGAGGAGAAGGGCATACCCAAGTTAGCGCGATGTAGTTTCCGGCACATGCGCATGCCATCCCCGTTTGGGGGATCTCTTGAAATCAAACCCTCAGATTACCGCACGCTGGAAAATGAGCAGTGGATCAGTGGCACGGTTATCGAGTGGCTCTCATCGTGAGTGCCTCTGTGTTGAACACATAGCAAACTGATTTGTTGACCCTTGATTTTAGTTTCTCACGAGCTTCACCGACTTTGTATATTTTCATGTCGATCCTGCAGTATGTTACACTACGAGAACGGATATGACAATGCGTCGTGGCTTTGCACATCGCCTTATTTCTGGACACTGGTAGCACGCCCGGGGTCGAAGAGGATCACTAGGCAGGCCTATGGACATGACATTTTGTCGTTTAAGCACGTTCTTGTTCCGATTAACAAGGAGTAAGTAGTCGGGTCTTTTTATTCATGTGTAGAACGTACCCATGTGCTGCAAACTAACGACATTGGAGTCTCGATAACATTGCAATGCGCACTGGAGCCTTGCTGTCATCGAAATTAACCACGCTCCGGGATCCCTTATCCCGATTAAGTGTGTCCTGTGGCATGCGGACTCATATGCAACTCACGTCGACATTGATGGACCTTTGAGAAAGTGAGATATGTGCTTCGTATGAAACATGATTCTTGCGGACGAGTGCTAACGACCCGTACGCTCAATGCGCAGATGTTTGATGCGACAGGTCATGAAGCGCTACGCATGGATCACGGAGACTGAAGCAAAATCGTGGGCAGCAGAGATTCCGTTAAACGCCATCGAGGTATGCGCGTTGGATGCGCGGATGCGTACGGGGGTGGGAAGGGTAGGATGCGCATGAGTGCAATGGGGATGCGCCGATGAGAAGGGGAGTGAGATGAGTGGGCTGAGCATGAGTGCGATGGGGATGCGCGGATGAGAAGGGGGGTGAGAGGAGTGGGCTGCGCATGAGTGCGGTGGGGATGCGCGGATGAGAAGGGGGGTGAGAGGAGTGGGCTGCGCATGAGTGCGGGGGGGATGCGCGGATGAGAAGGGGGGTGAGAGGAGTGGGCAGCGCATGAGTGCGGTGGGGATGCGGGATGAGAAGGGGAGTGAGAGGAGTGGGCAGCGCATGAGTGCGGTGGGGATGCGGGATGAGAAGGGGAGTGAGAGGAGTGGGCTGCGCATGAGTGCGGTGGGGATGCGCGGATGAGAAGGGGAGTGAGAGGAGTGGGGTGCGCATGAGTGCGGTGGGGATGCGCGGATGAGAAGGGGGGTGAGAGGAGTGGGCTGCGCATGAGTGCGGTGGGGATGCACGGATGAGAAAGGGAGTGAGAGGAGTGGGCTGCGCATGAGTGCGGTGGGGATGCGCGGATGAGAAGGGGAGTGAGAGGAGTGGGCTGCGCATGAGTGCGGTGGGAATGCGCGGATGAGAAGGGGGGTGAGAGGAGTGGGCTGCGCATGAGTGCGGGGGGGATGCGCGGATGAGAAAGGGAGTGAGAGGAGTGGGCTGCGCATGAGTGCGGTGGGGATGCGGGATGAGAAGGGGAGTGAGAGGAGTGGGATGCACATGAGTGTGGTGGGGATGCGCGGATGAGAAGGGGAGTGTGAGGAGTGGGCTGCGCATGAGTGCGGTGGGGATGCGCGGATGAGAAGGGGAGTGAGAGGAGTGGGCTGCGCATGAGTGCGGTGGGGATGCGCGGATGAGAAAGGGAGTGAGAGGAGTGGGCTGCGCATGAGTGCGGTGGGGATGCGCGGATGAGAAGGGGGGTGAGAGGAGTGGGCTGCGCATGAGTGCGGTGGGGATGCGCGGATGAGAAAGGGAGTGAGAGGAGTGGGCTGCGCATGAGTGCGGTGGGGATGCGGGATGAGAAGGGGAGTGCGAGTAGTGGGCTGCGCATGAGTGCGGTGGGGATGCGCGGATGAGAAGGGGAGTGAGAGGAGTGGGGTGCGCATGAGTGCGGTGGGGATGCGCGGATGAGAAGGGGGGTGAGAGGAGTGGGCTGCGCATGAGTGCGGTGGGGATGCACGGATGAGAAAGGGAGTGAGAGGAGTGGGCTGCGCATGAGTGCGGTGGGGATGCGCGGATGAGAAGGGGAGTGAGAGGAGTGGGCTGCGCATGAGTGCGGTGGGAATGCGCGGATGAGAAGGGGGGTGAGAGGAGTGGGCTGCGCATGAGTGCGGGGGGGATGCGCGGATGAGAAAGGGAGTGAGAGGAGTGGGCTGCGCATGAGTGCGGTGGGGATGCGGGATGAGAAGGGGAGTGAGAGGAGTGGGATGCACATGAGTGTGGTGGGGATGCGCGGATGAGAAGGGGAGTGTGAGGAGTGGGCTGCGCATGAGTGCGGTGGGGATGCGCGGATGAGAAGGGGAGTGAGAGGAGTGGGCTGCGCATGAGTGCGGTGGGGATGCGCGGATGAGAAAGGGAGTGAGAGGAGTGGGCTGCGCATGAGTGCGGTGGGGATGCGCGGATGAGAAGGGGGGTGAGAGGAGTGGGCTGCGCATGAGTGCGGTGGGGATGCGCGGATGAGAAAGGGAGTGAGAGGAGTGGGCTGCGCATGAGTGCGGTGGGGATGCGGGATGAGAAGGGGAGTGCGAGTAGTGGGCTGCGCATGAGTGCGGTGGGGATGCGCGGATGAGAAGGGGAGTGAGAGCAGTGGGCTGCGCATGAGTGCGGTGGGGATGCGCGGATGAGAAAGGGAGTGAGAGGAGTGGGCTGCGCATGAGTGCAATGGGGATGCGCGGATGAGAAGGGGAGTGTGAGGAGTGAGGTGCGCATGAACAACATTTTTCTGCCTGAATTCGAATATTACACCTAATCCCAACACTATCACCTTCTCGGGCCATTTGCAGGTGCGACAGCAAGACAACGATAATGACTGCGGTGTTTATGTATTGCGAGTCATTCATACTCTCGTCGAATCCGAATTCGGCAGTCTGAATGCGTGCAACTTGGTCGGGACGCCAAGACAGTGGAGGCGGCAATATCGTAAAGATTTGGCTAAGTGGTCGTGTTTCTATGATAGTGCATGCGCCTCTATTCAGGCTGTGTGATGCTCTTAGCCACCTTTGGTGTTGGATAGGGGCTGCATAATCTAGCACTAGACATGAGATTAGCTGAGTATAATGACAGATGGCCTAGTTATTATGCTATCCTGAAAGGTGTGTGTCACGTCATGGTGCTGAGGACCTGGAGTGGAGTGGGCAGTATGGAGTGGTGTCCCACCGAACCATGCATGCATGCAATGAATGGATGGCTGAAGGTGGGTTGGACAGCAGCATGCCTTCAAGAGGCACGGCATACAAAAACGGTGTGTGGTTATACGGTACTAGAACATGTCAACACACAGCGTGCCGCATGTGACTCGTAAGGTTGCACAACAGACACAACGCTGCTTCTCTATCCTCCTTTGCTGAATGCATAGTACCCCTACAATCAAGAAACACTCTGCTGATCTCTTCCAACCAGGCTGAATATGGGATGTTGCATGCCAGAGCAAGACTTGATTTGAATCGTGCTTACACTTAGCAGCCATTTGGTGTATGTGAAACTCCAGTCCCCTGGTATCTTGGTGATGTTGCATATGACAATATACCACGGTATCACCCTTCTCACTGTTCATGGCACTTTCATAAAGGCGGCCTCTGTGACACATTACGACGGTTTTTGGAGTTTGAATTCTTGGTAGGGTTCTTTCTGTGGTTGAGGGTTATCCCTAAATGCGTGACTTGTATGTTAGTCCAGATCCAATCACAAGTACCTGGAGTTTGGTAGAAAAACAAACCAGATGATGTGTTAGAATGATATTTGGGTTGTTATACAGCGCACTTGTAACGACCATCCTTGTTTTCGATATTGCAACGATGGTTCAAGGGCAACAGAACAGAGTCGTTCTCAAAGCGCGATGAGTTGGACTAGGCACGGATCGTCCTACGCGTGTATTCGAATTTCGCGCTGCCTGTTTGCTGTTGTGGCATTGATTTTTTGTGACATTGATTTTTTTGCGGCTAGTCTAGCTCTGATGTTGACATTCACGCGATCGAAAATACTTAGTAGTATCGCGCTTTTAGTACAATGCAGATATAGGATTGCTGGCGAAACGGCGTTCCAGCCCAACAAGTCTCCTACTAAGACCAGGCTTGTGAACACTCACATACTGCCAGCATGTACCTTGCAACTTCTAGGGCAGCTGGGCTGCTGCGATCCCAGAACTGGTGCAGGAGCTGAAGAAGGCGCGGAACTCCAGCACGACGTGACTTCATGGGAGGTTTTCGTTAAAGGAACATGCTGTGCCATCTCTCGTGGCGGTAGTTGAGACCACGAAACCCTAAGGCGAAGAGCACCAAGAACGTCACGCTTGTACCAGTTGAGGTTCTCCTCACGATACCCTCCTACGATAGGCATTTCCAAATGTTGCCTCACTGTGAGTTGCTGCCATAACGCATTGCTGTTAGCAGTAGGCACTTCTAACCTTAGCGCGTTGCAATTACTCGTCGTAGGCACGTCCAGCTATGGCGCAGTCGTAATGCTCTCTAAGGGCGCGTCCAGCAATGGCGCGCTCCTGTTCTCGCTTGCAAGACCTTCTTGGGCGTGGTCCGCAGGCACGTACTGGGATTTCGCACTGCGTTTCTCGCAGGCACGTCTAGCATGCGCGGTGGGATTCCTTGCACCTTGAATACCTATTTAAGCAAGCTCTGATCCATCGAAATGCACTCCTCATCTTGCAATCATTCACTGGACTGGTCTAGCGGCAATAATGGCGGACATCTGCGATCTCGATCAACAGGCCGATGCTACTGCGGTGGTAGTAGGCACTGGAGCTTTACAGCCCCTGGAAGGCGCCAGAACAGGTGCGGAACAGAGGCTTCATGACGAGATGACACCTCACAAAGCTGCTCCGTTAGTTGTTCAGTATCGGAGGAAGAACAAATCTTCTGCACGCGCTGCCGAGGAGTCAGGGGACTCATCATCGGATAGTGACCAGTCTGGTGACGAGCCTTGCGCTGGCCGAATTAGTCGCGGCGGTTCAAGCGAGCGCGGAACGGTCCTAAGGTGAAGCTGCTGGACCAATTCAAACCTGCTAAAGAGAGGAAAGGTAAGCAAGAGCCTTTTAGCTCCGCATAGCGTCTTTCTATGTCTGTTTCAGAGTTGCTCATTGATATCGTGGTTGATTTCGCCACCAATAGAGGTGCTCCACTCGTCACCACTGATCTTGTCGCCCTTTCTTTATGTGTTGTAGCTAAACGCGGTGCCAAGAAAGGGAAAAGAGGGAAACAACAGGCGACCGGGGCAACACGACAGCATGAAGCTGTAGACGACGAGGATCACTTGCAAGTGAAAGGGCATGAGCGTGACGGCGAGCGGGGCGGCGAGCGTGACGGCAATCGTGACAGCGAGCGTGACGGCGATCGTGACGGAGAGCGTTACAGCAAGCGTGACGGCGATCGTGACGGCGAGCGTTACAGCAAGCGTGACGGCGATCGTGACGGCGAGCGTTACAGCAAGCGTGACGGCGATCGTGACGGCGAGCGTTACAGCAAGCGTGACGGCGATCGTGACGGCGAGCGTTACAGCAAGCGTGACGGCGAGCGTTGCGGCAGGGTTGGCGAGGGTGAGGGTGATCATGAGGGCGAGCTTGAAGTGAAGCGTGACGCATCCCCTCCTACTGCAGCAGGTGCTCGACAGGATGGTGCAGAGAATGTTCCTGGGCATGGGGGGGGTGGGAGGGAGAGCCGTGGCGGGGAGTTGGAGGATCAGAGGGGGGTGTCAGGGAGGGTGAAGTCACGGCGCCGAAGGGCTGGAAAGAAAGCCCCTGTCAAGGAGGAATCTTCCGATGACGATGAAAGCTCTGAGGAGGAGTCGGGGAGCTCCTCTGGGAGCGAGGAGAAGTACGACGATGAGGAGGACGAAAGTTAGGATGCGGAATCAGAGTCAGAGAGTGAGGAGGAAGACAGGAGGAAAGGCAAGGCTCGGGGTGGACGCAGAAACGGATCTAGCGGAAAGCGTTGTCGCGCTAGGAAGGAAAAGAAAGGGCGTAAGAGGGGGAGGCCCCAAGAACATGCACCAGCCAAGCGCTCAGAACGTGGGGAAACCCGAGTGGGTAAGGAGCGGCGTACTTTGAATGCCGATCTCGGGTTCTACAACGACATGAAGGTTTTGGGGAAAACAGTAGATGCTACAGCGGAGAACCGACGGGAAAGCATTCGCAAGAAACGGGGGGCTTCAGACGACCCCTATGCGGCACTCGCTTCAGGTTCCTCGTTGGGAAGGAATGCCCAGCCGGTTCGTGGGCGGAGTGGCATCAAAGTTGAAGTCCAGCGTGTTGCTGACAACCGTAAGCATGGAGGAAGTGACGATGAGGAGTGGGGCATTGGGCAGGGTTTTGAGCGGAGTAGTGGCGTGCAGGTCGGACTCCAGGGCGCAGCTGACGGTGGCAACCCTGGTGCTGGAGGTCAGCCAGGCGACGGTCGACTTAGTTGTGAGGCTTTTGGTAAAACAGATATTGGGCCTGAAGTCGCGGGAGAATCCGCAAGGTGCAAGCAAGAGGGTGCGGCAGTTGTATTCCCTTTCAGTAGTGCTGGTGTATCACCCAACGCGTCCATGCAGCAATTGTTTCAGGCATTGCAGGAAGCGAATAGGCAGATTGCGGAGCTGAAGGCAGCACCAAGGCCCCTGGGAAATTCTGCTGGAGTAGGAATGCCAGTTCCACCTCTGCAGGCGATATCCAGCGAGCTACCCTCCCAGGAACCTGAGCCCGTGTGTGTGGCGGAGAGTGCTGTACAAGGACCGCCCATCGCTAGGAGACATGGGATGCCATCTGCCACGAATTTGAGGGTCAGTTGCCCTTCCCCAACCCGTAAATCTGTTTCCCTGCATGCCTTGCTTCGCATCCATCTCTGTTTGCCCCGTTCAAAGCATGCTGTGCTCCCCAAGCATCTTAATTTGCACCTTCCCTGCATGCCTTGCATTGCATCCATCTCTGTTTGCCTCATTCAAAGCATGCCCTGCTCCCGTTGCATCCTAATCTGCACCTTCCCTGCATGCCTTGCTTCGCATCCATCTCTGTTTGCCCCGTTCAAAGCATGCCGTGCTCCCCAAGCATCCTAATTTGCACCTTCCCTGCATGCCTTGCATTGCATCCATCTCTGTTTGCCCCATTCAAAGCATGCCCTGCTCCCCATGCTTCCCAATTTGCACCTTCCTTGCATGCCTTGCATTGCATTCATCTCTGTTCGCCTCATTCAAAGCATGCCCTGCTCCCCATGCATCCTAACCTGCACCTTTCCTGCATGCCTTGCAGTGCAGTCATCTCTGTTTGCCCCATTCAAATCATGCCGTGCTCGCCATGCATCCCAATTTGCACCTTTCCTGCATGCCTTGCAGTGCAGTCATCTCTGTTTGCCCCATTCAAAGCATGCCCTGCTCCCCATGCTTCTCAATGTGCACCTTCCCTGCATGCCTTGCATTGTATTCATCTCTGTTTGCACCATTCAAAGCTTGCCCTCCTTCCCATGCATCCTAATTTGCTCCTTCCCTGCATGCCATGTTCCATGTTTTCCCTTCCGTTGAATACATCATTAGCTCTACATCGAGGATACCAGGAATCGCATCTGCATGGAAGCTGACGACAACGAAATCAATTTCTACCCATCTTTTGAGAAGAGGATCTTGGTCTTGCACGCGGTCATATCAGAGAACTACATAGTGTCTTTGATTCAGTTGAAAGAGGTCATGCAGGACCAGAAACGCATTGAAACTTTCAAGCGTGTTTGGACGCAATGGAAGAACGAGCGCGCCTTCTATATCAAAAGGGCGGTGCTCGAGGCCCTGGGGGTGGCAGTTAGTGGGCTGCGTGCATCAGAGTTACACATCGACGTGGAATTGAAGTGCGATCTTTGGGGCACTGCCCAAGTGAGTATTCCATCGCACAATGCCTTGTATTGCATGATTTTGGGGGGGTTACACCCCCAACCCCCTTCCCTGGTCACTGTTTCTCTCTTACCCTTTCCCGTTTTCCTTCGACCGACCAGATTGGCCTGCCAATGCCCCACCTGTCCCCTCCCCAACCCCCTCCAAACCCAACTGCTGCAGCTGCCGATGATCCACTAAGCACATGGGGGAATGATGAGGAGTCCGGCCTCCCATTCGCCAACAAGTGCTTCTTCGATGCTGCCATGGATGCCTTTGGTGAATATGCTGTGGGGACAAAGTTGTGCATCAAGGCGTATCACATTGCGTGGATTATCATGGTGGTGAGCAGATTCTTTCTCCCTCTCGTTGTCCCCAATTCATTGTGTTCTTCTACCCCATTCCTTGCTTGGGTTTCAACAAATGTTTCAATTTGCTTTCCATCCTTGCATGCCATGCACGGTGCTCCCAATACTTCACTGTTTCCCCCTTTGAAACATGATCCACAAATCCCTCCAAACTCCATCACTGTACAGATCGATTACGGATTGTCAAAGACAAACAAGACGACAATGAACCTCACCAACTCCCACCGTAAGAACACCAAATGGGTGACAAGCATCCGCGCCCTTGTGAAAAGGGTGGTGAGGGATCACTTCACCCAGGCCAGTCCGACCTACAACCCCCGCATGAAGGGTTTCGAATGGGGGCCATTTGGCCTTTTTGTCCACGAGTCGGGCTTTGAGGAGTATAGGGCCACACCAAGCACCCGCACTCCGGTGGGGAGGGTGGTTGCTTGACTGAACTAGAGTGGAAGTTGCAACGAAGAGGAGCAGCGGGTTGTAAACAGTGCGAGAGGCAGAGAAAGGTGGAGTGGGGAGACACGGGGACGCAGCAGTGGAGGGGTAAGCTGCAGAACTGGTGTGGGGTGTGCTGTGGAGGAGTAGCAGTAGGGAGAGTATGAGATGGACAGCAAAAAGGGAAGCTATGTTGAGCTGTGAGACCGCAGCGGAGCAGCGGGGTATGGCAGCTGTGAGAGGCAGTAGGTATTTGCTTGGGGGCAGCAATGCTGTGATGCTGGGAGGAGCAGGAGTGGAGTGTGCAGCAGTGGAACAGCAAACAGGAAATCAGAGTAATAAAAACAGAGGGGGTATGGGAGAAGGACCAGCAGCAGATGAAGTAGAGCAGTCACAGCAGTGGGATGAGCGGAGAAGGGGTAGCAGCGGGTCAAGCAGAGTAATGACAGCAGGGTGGGAACGGAAAAGGACAGCAGCGGGGGAAGAAGAGCAGCCACAACAGTGGGGGGAGCTCCAAAGAGGCAGCAGTGCGGGAAGCAGAGTAGACACAGAGCATTTGGGGAAGCGGAGAAGGGGCAGCAGGGGGAGCAGAGTAATCACAACAGTGGGGGGAGTGGAGAAGGGGCAGCAGTGGGGGGAGCAGAGGAGTGGCAGCAGCTTGTCAAGCAGAGTAGTTACAATAGGGGGGAGCAAAGAAGGGGCAGCAGCGGGGAAGGAGAGTAGTCACAACAGTGGGGGGAGCTCCAAATAAACAACAGCCAGAGGAGTAGAGTAGTCACTGAGCAGTGGGGGACGAATAGAAAGGGCAGCAGCTGGGGAGCAAAGGTCTCCGCAGTGTGGGGAGCGGAGAAGGGGCAGCAAGGAGGGAACAGAGAAGTCACAACAAGGGGGGGAGCGAAGAAGGGGCAGCAGTGGGAGAAGAAGAGTATGTATTCAGTGGGAGAGGCGAAGAATCACAGCAGCAGGTCAAGCTTAGTAGTCACAACAGGTGGGGAGCAAAGTTGAGGAAGCAGCGGGGGAAGAAGAGCAGTCACAACAGTGGGAAGAAGAGCAGTCACAGCAGCCAGGGGAGTAGAGTAGACACAGAGCGTTTGGGAAAGCGAAGAAGGGGCAGCATAGGTCACAGCAGTTAGGAACTCCAGGCCAACTAGTGCGATAGGAGACGAGTAGGGGATTGCAGCAGCAAGTCAGATTACCAGTAGAAGGCAGTGACAATGTGACAATAGGAGACTAGATGCAGGGATATGAAGCAAAAGGAATGTTGTAGCGTTTTTAATTCCTATTTTTCTGATTTTTGCGAGCACACATCGTATGTCGGTGGGATCCATGGAAAAGGATGTTTGGTGTTGGGTCGAGGCATTATCGAACCTTGTGCAAGGTGTAATTATGGCTGTGTACAAGGTAAAAAAACATACATGATGCCCTTTTCCAACTGTATAATTTACAGGCATTGACACTCTGCTAAACTATGTCAAAATCCAATTCAAACATGTAACAAAACACAGCAAAGCACCTTTTTTACACCGCATAAATGTCAATAGGTGTCGCCAACATGTCCATAACAAGGTTTCCAAAACCCCAATAGAACTTCCCTCGCATGTATTTAGAACCATTTCAGAACCTGCCAATCATACGAAAATCATCTGACACATCATTTGAAAAAAGTTCGATACTTTCTTCTAAAAAAGTTTGAACCCCTACATTTTGAAAACATTCGAACAAAGTCTTCAAACACACATCATGTATAGTATTCAGATAGTTGATTTTTGTGATGAAAGTACCCCAAGAAGTAGATCGGAGCTGGATGGCAATGCTTGGAACCTTCCAACAAGTAGATGACGTCGCTGACGTCTTTAAATAGGAAAGATTGGCCTTCGCAGTGCCGTGCCGTACCTGTGGGGGTTTTGTGAGATGTGGGGGATAGGAGGTCAAAAAAAGAGGAATGGGAAGGGGGGGGCGTAGATAGCAAGATGATGACGAACCCATGCAGCTGGGAGGGAAGAGTCTCGTGGCACATTAGACCACGTCTGCATGTTACGGGGCACTTTCTGGAGACTCCCAGAAATAACAAAGACAATTCTTTCACCATGCTTGTGAGTAGGGTCTGATCCGTGCCATGCTTGTGTAACTTTTGAGATTTCAAAGAAATGAGGGTATTCTACGTGGCATGAGGGCAGGAGAGTGGGAGGAGGGAAATTGGGGGATGTTCGG